AAAAAAAAAAAAAAAGAAGGTACAGCTAATGACAGAATCAGAGGTTTCATCTTCCCAAAGAAATCAAGCCCATTTTCTATCCAGTCAAAGTATGATTTTCTGTGCTCTTGTTTCGATCTAAGGTGTAGTAAGAAAATGGTTTATGATTGATGTTAGTCTTGAGATTTGTTTTTTAACATAGTTTAAGATCACCGAGACATAATTTAGGACAGTTTCTATGTGGATGATATTGTTTAACTAAGGTCCATTACCTATTTTCAAAAAGACATTGTTTAACCAAGGTCAAAAAGGAGAGTTGGTGGTTCTCTTTACCCATTTTAATAATTTGTGTGCAAGCAGAAAGTAATGGAATCCCCATAGGCAATGATAATTGGGAATTTCCTTCTCTGGGATGGAAATAATGGGATGTGGACAAATAGTGTCTCGATGAAGTGATTCATCCGAAAAAGTGCAACAGCAAATCTCATATACGATTGCCTGACAATGTACAATATATATGTCATCAGAAAAGTAAAGAAGTTCAATTTTATTTACATAATAATAGATAAAAATTAGATAAGACTTACTACACCCCTTGTAATTGAAATTGAAAAAGTCCCTCCTAAGATTTTCCTTTTCTTTTTTTTTTTAACCAACTCCAAAAATCAGCTCTTTTTTTATATTAAAAATATATTATAAAATAAAGAATTACTATCCACTTCTCTTATCTCTTTTCACCTATGTCAAGGTTCATATTAAAAGTTATTAATCTGAAATCACATTTTACTTGAGGTATACTCCAAACATCAGCCTTACCGAACCACATCTGAAACATTTTAGTGATCCAATTCAGAAGATTTCAACGAAATCTTGAGGGCACAGGATCTGGATTCGGTGATCGTTTACAATCTCCCAAAAACCTATAGTTTTGCATATATGTATTCTATTGGACTTGACCTGCAAATTCCGTGAAATTCTTGTTAAAAAAAATAAAAAAAGAAGAAAAGAAAAGAAGGAAACTTCCCCCTTCTTCCCCTTAAATCACAAAATGCATAAATTAAGAGCTTCAGCAATATCACCCTTCTCTGATTCGGATTTACTTGGCAGAGGTCAAAAGGAAATCAAAAACTATGAACAGATACAACATTTCTTTTTTTCCCAGTAATTAGTTAACATTACAGATTTTACAGATAAACACTAGTATATATTTACAGATTACATAATAACTAGGGAAAAGTTTTGTGCAGTCCAGACTATATTAGACTACACAACATTAACCATTAGATGGGAGTTAGGCCTTAGATATTGGAGTCCCTCCCCCATCCAATGGTTCCTATTTTACAGTCCCGTGTAGTCTGTAAAACAGGGTTCCCAAATATAATTAATTAAGAAAAGTGTTGAAGATAAAATACAGATATACTTTTAGAAAGCTTGCTCAGGCTTCAGAAAGTTGTGATATTCCAGCTGAGTCATTTCCCCACCAATTACTGGATCAAACTGGCATCTGTAGAAGCTGCAACAACAATAATTAGGATTAGGACATTAAGAAAAATACATCTCCAGCGAATATCTCATTCAACATCAAAAGACAATCATATATGCATACCAATTGAAAAGACAAAACCAATGGATAAAGTATAAAAAAGGTCTGTATTGGATCAGGACAGGTACAAGACAAAATCTGGAGACAATCACTACAACCATCGTCCAAATCAACCTGAATCATTTTACTGATGCTTAAGGGAAAGAGCCAAGAACATATCCATACATATCTCAAAAAAGTGGGTATCTATACAAAATTTTGTACTCTTCTTTCAAGGAGATTTGAATAGCAGCTAAAAATTGTAAAATGGCAATAGAAAACTTCAAGAATCACTAGACAACTCAATTGAAAATGCAGTGGTTCAGTATTTACTAAGCAAACTAAACCAATTAAAAACCTAAATTGTCACCTTAAAAGATGGCTACTAAATAAAAATTTGACCAAAAAAAAACAAAAAAGGAGAGAGAAATAGGAAGAGTTGTGATGATGACCACCACATTATATACTTCCACTTACCTTCCATCCATGCCAAGAATTACCACCGTGTTCTTTTGGTGACCAAAAGCAACAAGGTATTGAGAACCTTCAACCAAGCGGAACTGAGCCACTGACCATTCAGAACTGAAGTACTTGGGTAACACCCCTGCACACGGAAATAAAGCTTAGACAAGCGCCTGCCATCATATAACACTCTTAATGTTTCAAGAGGGCCCGTCAAATAACTTTTAGGTTATTTATCAATTATTGCACTCCATTATTACCAAGTGGAACACCCTCATCCAATAAAAAAAGTGCGTTCTGTTTCCCACGCCTACAGACCTTACCAAATCAAAAAACCCTTGCATCCTAGTAAATGATAAATCTTATTCCATTCCAAATGTCAAAGTTTGGGACCAACCAAAGAATTGGAGTATCTAAATGAAAATGTTCACATACCATGGAGAGTTCTAAACAGACCCCAAGAACTGACTAAAATAGAAGTACCACAATAGCACAGACATATGGTATCTAATGCAGTGAAAAGGAGAAAATAAAAGAAGGCAACTTCACCTTTGATGAAAGAGAGAGATGAGGTGGGAGAAGTAACAGAGTCTGATCCACCTCGAGGCCTCTCATTGCTTGGAGACCCAGAATTAACTTTGAGGCCGAAAACATGAACGGTACCCTTGTCACTTGAAACTGCAAGCCATTGAGCATTTGAAGAGAATGCCAAACTATAAATTTCAGCTCTATCTGCACCTCTTCTCACCTACATTTAGATTCAAATAATTTTACATATACATGAAATCAGTAATACAGTCATGACCATAATGTGCACATCCAAAATCACAGTAATCCCGAATTTTAAATTACAGTAATGACAGTAAGTTTGAATGAACCACTAACTGAGCTGAAGACATGAAAACCTGTTAATCTTCACTTTTTGTAAAGTAGAATAGCCTATATCCCATAACATTCACACATCATACTGGAGGAAAAGAAAAAACATTTAAAAAGCGCAACTTTGAGAGAATGTCAATTGGGGGTAATTAAACTGATGGAAGATAATTCATATTTTGGAACACAGTAACAAACCTCAAAAACCATAACGAAAATCAAAATCTATCTCTAGACAGGCGCTTTCACTATTAATACTACCAACTTAGAGGACAGGACCTTTTCATTTAATCAAAGTACCCTTTAAAACTAGCATGCTGCATACGACAAATTTCAACAATCTATACCAAAAAGAAGTTGAATAATGGACATTGGACTGCATAATCATCATTTTACAATTTAACTAACAGTCACGTACCTCCTGAAGCAAGCTCCCATCCGCGGTATTGAAAATTCGAACCAGTGTTCCCTTTGTGCTGGTCGTGGCTAGCAACTGCCCATCCTGAGTGAGCGCGAAGCAAGCAATCCTAGAATCATGCGCCATAATGAACTTAGTCCTCTTCGAGCCATAGTGCTCCACCCTAACCTGCCCCTTCTGCAATCCGGGACACACCAGCACCAGCGAACCCGCTCCATGAGACACTGCACAGAGCCCCTTAGGATTTGCAATTGTCTCAATCTGATGCAACAGCTTCAAATCCGCAAAATTATACACAAATATCTTCTGTTCCAAAACAACAACAATCCTATCCCTCCGCAGCCGCACCGATCTCACTTCTGACCTAAACGACAGCTCACCTATACACCGGCTCTGATGGTCATCCCAGATCATGACCTTATTAAGCGGGTACTGCGGTTCCGGTCCCCCACCCACCAAAGCCAAAATATTGCAACGAAATAGCATCTCAACAACCGCGATGCCACCACCGCGACCGAAATCGCGGCGAAAAATCTCACGAAACGGATCGCAATTGAAAATCCGAAACCCCTGGTCGGTACCGGTGGCAAAGCATCCATGGTCCTGATTAAAAGACAAATGAAGAAGAGAAGGCAGGGTGGCAGCTGGAGGGGAAGCAGACTCGATCGGAAAAGAGGTATGGGAGATATGGGTATGATAATTAGGGTTAGAATTATGACCAAGTTCGGAATCCTGAGGTTCGTGAGGCATCGGAGGGAGGGAATCTAGGGTTTGAGGTTGAGATTGGGAGGTTTGGTCGAGGAAATTGGGATTAGGGTTAGGGAAGGCGGAGAGAGTGGTCATCGGAAAAGGGATCTAGAACAGGAAGGATACGAAGGATTCGGGAAGACGATACGGAGGAAGAAGAGGTTCACCTGTTCACGGTTTCGCGGTCAAATCACGGTGAGGCAATATCTGAAGGAAATATCAGTTGGGCAAGGCAAAACTACATGGGAGGACTTTAACTTTTGCAATTCTAATAGTATTGGGTATCAAACGTTTTTTTTTTTTTTTTTTCCTGACGAAATGGTTTAACTCTTGCCATGAAATGAGTTATTGGATGCTTACGTTGACATGTCTAACAAATTCTGTTAATTACGCATACGTACATAAGGTGTTGGTGTGTAATTCTTTTTTTTTTTTTTTTTTTTTTTTATGTTGGTTGCATAGCATAACAGAAGGTAATTCTCTCATCTTTTATCGCACTCCACCTACATATTATGGACTCAAATTCAGTATTTTTTATTTCTAGTGAAAAGAGATTATCACTAAGTTATTTAGATCATTGACTTCTTTTAAAAAACATTAGGTATATAATGTTTATATTTAATATGACATGTTATTTCATTATTAATTATTTTCATTTGAGAATAATACATGATATTATGTACATCTGTTTTTTTAATGTTTTGTCAAACTACATACCATACAATATGACATGATATTATACTTGTAGCATTATCCATTTTTTTTAAAAAAAAATTGTCCACATAAACATAAACTTGATTGTTGGACTTTTTTCAAAAAAAAAAAAAAAAAACATTGTGCTCACTACCTTGGTATTTCCCTTTTCCTTCCTCCAAATTATAGCGCAAAAAGCCCTAAGGGTCTATTCAGATAGAGGGCCAACTTTATTAGGCAAAATTTTTATTAAAAGAGTAATTGGGAAAGTATATAGAAAGTTTATAAGTTTTATGGTAAAATTTTATTGAGTTATTAATTTTTTTATATTTGGTAAAAAAAATTAATATAGGGAGAATTGGTATGAAATTTTTTCTTTTAAAAAAACATTAAAAGAAAAGTTTATGATTAGAAATTATATATGTAAAAGAAAATAAAAATTAAAAATACCACTTCTATTATCATTTTATTATAGTATTAATATGTAAATAACCTTTTAAAAGGGAAAGATTAGAAAAGTTTAGTGGGAAAAGTGACTTGGCAAGTTTGATTAGTCTTTGGCTCTGTAAGTACCTTTGGAGAAGTCATGAGTCTCCAAAAAAATTGGCTTGGTCTAGGAAAAAATGACAAGCAACTTTGAAAGTTTAGGAGATCCACTACCATCTTGCTTGGACTGCAAAGCAAAAGTGGAGTTACCAGTTAGACTACCTATTTATCTTTACAACGGTTTTTGTTCTTTTGTAGTTTTCTCTGTCCATGTCTTTAGAGTTTCTTTTTTTGTTTCTTTTAATTATGACCTTACTTGAAATGTTATTAATTTTATTTCTCTAATTTAATATTTAAATATCTATTAATATAAAAAAAATGTGAATATTTATTACTAGTCAAAAGAACATTATCTTCTAAATCCCAACTTATAATGACAAAGAATGTTAAATTTAAGAAAAAAAAAGTTCGTAATCCCCCATATGGCTCAGTGGTCGTCACGTTATCTATTGGACAGTAGGTGGAATGCACGCTAATCATGGATTCGACTCTCTTAAGAAATAGATATTAATTAACCTAATCTAGAATTTCTTATTGTTAAAAAAAAAAAAAAAAAGTTCATACCCACAATTAGCATCAATGTTGACCATGGAAGAACAAAAGGAAGTTAGTGAAGCTTGCTGAGAATTTTAACACGTCAATCTAGGACCCCTTAACTATGTCATTAGCTACATCAATAGTTCACATCTAATAACAAATTGGTTAATTAGTTTGATTACTTGATTAGGAAAATTAAAAGTTTTGATTCTTTTATAACAAAGTCACGAAAGTTTGAATCCTTATTAACTAGTTTTGCCTATCAAGTTACGTTCACTTTGGGGCTGTTTTGAAACGGTGAATCAAATAATGCTGACAAAATCATAGGGTGCCTTTTGCTTCGTCCCCACGACAATTTCGAATTTTCATTCCCCTCTCCAAGATTAAGCTTGGGCCTCTGATTCTTCGATTTTTGCCCAATCATTCGACGCTTTAGCTGTATGTTTGAATAAAGGGGAGAGAAAAAAAAATTTTTATTTAGTTATCAAAATAATTGGAGAAGAAGGAAAGAAAAAAAAAGTTTATTTTATTTTATTTATTTATTTATATATTTAAATGAGTAGAGAAAAAGGAACAGGCAAAATGTTAGTTCTTTTTTATTTTTTTATTTTTGATATTTATAGTTAGGGAATTTTAATTTTAGTTTTCACATACTTTAAAGATTAATATTTTTTTAAAAATAATTTTAAGGGCGTACTTCATAATAAATTAATATATTTAAAAAAATTAATTTTTTTAAATGATAATTTTGACGTTTAAATTTTAAATCTAACTTATAAAGTAATACTTATCAATAAATCTAACATTTCAATTGAAATTTGATTTATCCACCAAAAACGCCCTCACATTATTCTATATAACAATTTTGTTTGTTAATATACATGGTACTTTGATTTTTTTTAAAAAAATTTTTTTAATACGGTTACAATCAAAAAAGAGGTGAAGAGATATAAGAAAGGAAGTCTATGAAATTTAAAACTGCAACTAAAGAGGTAATTCCACTAATTCAAATTCAATGTCATTGAGTTGAAACACATGTGGATATGATACTTTGATTTATTTAATCTAAAATAAGCATGAATTGAATATATTAATGTAAAATAAACATATAAATTTTGTTAATGTAGAACATAAAAAAGTTTGATTAGAGCGACATTAAGGGCATCTTTCAACTAAGGCTGTATGGTACCATGCTTACGACTTCTCCTGTGTTGTAATATCACAAAATTTAACATTTTTCATAATGTGCTACGTGAGAACACATGTTACGTGAAAGCAATACCAAACACAGCCTAAGTTAAAAACTTACATTTACTCCATGATCTTGTCAATGGTTCCATTACTAGTTAAAAAAATCTACATCCGTGTGACCCCATGACACTAGGATCCCAACCCAATAACAAAACTTGCAGCTCATCAAATTCTCTTCAGAACAGCAATCGATCTAAAAATTCGAAGTTTTTCATTAGGTTAGGATACTAGTGATATCATGTCACCGGGATATCCGTAGAATTTCTCCTCCACTGGACGTAAGGAACTTTTCACTTGCCAAACTCATGGTATGCTACGTTAATCTAATGACTCAACATTATCATTATAAGCATGTGATATTGTGATCTTGTCAGAGGAACAATGCAATCGAATCAGAATCCTTGTGGATAGACCCCCAACCATGTTCAAATCTGGGAGAAATACGTTGATAATAAAATTTTCTCAGCATTTCCCTTTACTTGAACTTCTTTCCTGCTCAAAAAGATAAAACAACAATGAGAGATTAATTTATTGATGCTGTTTTTAAAACAATAAGTAATAATAGTTCAGCAATATTTCTCAAAAAAGAAACAGTGAAACTTATATACCAGGGCAACTTAACGCAGCCAGAAAGTAACTTGATACTGCTAGGACTAGAAATTTTCAACAAGTTCCCTTAATTGACTTAAACTGCACTCATCATAACCTTGGCATGTGCAAAGAAACAATGCATCTAATTTTCCCATGCAGAATTGAGCATATGAAAAGATTTAAAGCTCATCATAAGTACCACTGGGGGTAAATTCGAATTGAGTTCCCAATTTCAAGGTTGACATTGCCACAGATTCGTTGATTGAAAATAACTATCATTTTTTTCCCTTCATTTTCCATCTCTTTGGCACCATCTGGGGACCATATATCCTGCAGAAAAGACATGCATATTCAAAGACCTTCTAGTGGAAACATATCATACATTAATAACTCAGTCAAACACGTGAAGCTATAATCACATCTGAAAAAATTACATTCGTAGCTCTTCCCCAAGGGAGGGAAAAAGAAATCAGAGACCAAGCTATGATAACATCCTGTCTTTATTTATAAGTTTTGACCAAGAGGACTTATTCACAACAAGGGTTTTTAGGCACCAAAAGGAATGAATATTAGATAATTTGATTATCTTGAGAACCTTGCATTCCAACTACCAATAACAAGTCCATGAATCATCAAAATTGTAATAATCATGACTATTTGCAGGACCACTAAACTTTTGAGATTTAGTGGAGACACTAGACAAAGTACAAGAACATACACTCCAATTTCCCTTAGCTGAAAAGATAAGTTTGAATTATTTTTCTTTTCAGTGAAAATTTTAGCTTTATTAGAATGGAAGGCCCCAGGACTTTTGAGGTTTAAAATTTAAACAATGTTCTAACCTCTGTGGCCTTGATGAATAAGCAATGACAAACTGTCAGCTTTGCATCCAAGTACCTAGACATAATTTGCACGTCAATGCAGCTCGGTTCTTCTGAGAAAATGAAAATTAAACAGATCAAACTACATAAAGCATAGAGTAATCAATTTTAGTTAGTTGCCCATATAAAGTAGTCCAGAAATCAATTGCCTAACCAAATATGTTTTCAAGAACAAAAGAAAAAAGGTAACTAATAATTTCATATAAAAAATAAAGGTAATTAATTGCAATGATTTACTGTTACCAATAGCTCCACTTTGTAACTTTTTCAAAAAATGCAGATCTTTTTCCTTTTCTTGCTGCACAACCTGCTGCAACTTCCCAAATAATCCACTACTGTAGAATTTGGAGGAACAAATTACCCAACAGATACGGTTATATATATCTAAAATGTCAAATTGAGCTCCAGTCTGCTCATTTACCACAATGGTTTAGGTGCAGCGGCAATGGCCACTTCATTGCTCAAAGAGGTAGCACCTAATGCTTCTTGAAATCTGTCTGCCATAGTTTTCTTCATCTCAGGGATAACAAGCTTGAGATTCTGATAATCAGCCTGTATAAGTACACAAACAAGATTAAATTTAAATTAAGTGTTTCAGAAAGAAAGGACTATAAAAAGAAACCAAGCAGGTGATACCTCATCATCGCTTGATGAGTCACCAACCATGAGCTCGGGTAGGTCTTCACCATCTATAGTTCTATCTCCCAATGAACATGAATGTTTCCTGAATGCAGGCAGTGCCCTTTTTCCTCTTGTTCTGCTAGCCTGCAACAAATACAGATCAGACCAGCAAGAGGGAGCCAATATATACAAAATTTATAGATCAAAGAAAATGGATACAATTTTAGAATGCCATCTGGGTAGGCTAGTATTATCTTGAAGGTCATCTAAAAGCTCAGCCATTGAATGCTCTTGAAATCCCTGACCAGA